TCCTCAAAAATGAGAAACCACGATGTGGTCCAAACGAACAGTGTCAATACGATGTATATGAAACCGATATAAATTGAACCAACTGGAATACTTTGGCACCAGCGCGGTAAATTTTGAAATGGCAAATAGCCCAAAACCACCATTTGTTCTCTTATTCTTTTGAATGTTTCCAATCGTTTCACCATTTCTGATATATTTCAGAGTGTTCTGTAACTTTTCAACTGATATTTTGATTCGAACTGATCAAAACTCCTACCAACTCGTGCTTTTATACTCGCGCTTGGTATTGAATTTTATTAAATGGCAACCCAAACTAATTATTCTTTTATAATTCATACGCCACGTTATACGAGCTCACAGAAAAATGAAGATTTATTTTTTGAATCCTTTTTGTATCCAATGAGCATGAGGATACACAAATTACGAAATGGATAAATACCTTCGAATTCTCTCGGGCTCCCCCAATCATCATTCAGTAAACTCCACACATATATTTAACAAGAGATATTTGACTTTCGTGTCATATCAATACGAAAGGATATCCTGCATGAGCCATTAGATTTCATCAAAAAGGAAAAGACGCTTCAAATAAATTCTGAATGATAATTGATTTGATATTGCCTAAGACAGGTACATTTAACCATTTAAATGGGGTCATAATTGACCGAGTTGACATCTGGTACACATGCTGAATTTCACTCCGAAGATTTGATGATATTTGAGAAGAAATGTCAAGTCAGAAAAAACTGAATCATTGCCTCTTCTAAGTAAAAAAATCGAAACACAAGAACGAATCTGTTTCGTGCCACCCAATTTGATTTTGTTGGTCGGAGCTAATGTTTTCACTTCCGTCAACATACATATAACACATATAAAACATTCACTTCTTTTCTCTCATTCCGAGCTACCATAGCGTATTAGTGGTACATTGGAGAAAGCTCAAAAGTTTGAATCCCTGACGCAGCGTTTGATTAACGCTGCGGAAAATGTCAAATATGCTCCAATACAACAGACCTTCGTATCAATTCGAAATGTTCGTTATTTGATAAGTTGATATTTTTTCACGAATGTAATCAGCCACTCTGATCGTCTGTACAAAAAGATAAGAAACGTCAAACAAGAACAATAAAACGGCACCTGGCGACTGGTTGGAGAAATAGAGAATCATGCACATAGTTTGCTGTAACAAGTATGCGTCTGTGTTAGTTCAAACGTTGAAAGTATGACACATTACATTTGGTCCCCCGGTGCCGCTGTATTGTTTACTATTTTCATGATCAGAAAGGCTGAATATAATTGAACAGCTATGTGAGTTTGATTATATATAATCAGATCTTTTTTCATGTTGAATGTGAATGAGTCAGCTGTTTGTGGAATAAGCAAGGGTAGATATTATATATTTAACGTGATCGATTTATTTGATTTTTCTTAAAAGTATTCGAACAACAATAAAAGCGATTCCATTTGAGATTAGAATTTCGATATGTCAATTGCATGTTCAACTCTACATTGTCATTCGCACCATGCTATTAAATTCGAATTATCAGTAAAGAAATTTAAACGCGAACTCTAACACCTGGAAAGCCTTTAACGCCCAAACCAGTGACTTTGAACAGACGACCATCCAATTCAGATTGTTTGTCATCTGGATGTAAACCAATAGCTGCAGCATTTGCAGGAGCTGAAGCCGATGTCACATATAAAATATCCAAATTTGGCCCACCGAAACACACACTCGTCACTTGTCGTGCTGGGATTGGAATTTCTAAAACAATTTTCCCTTTCCTGTGTGAAAATAAAATTGTAAGCAAAAAATTTATTTCAATAATTGAGTCGAAATGAGTCAATTACTTTGGGTCAACTTTAAGCACTTTAGATCCACCATAAGTTGCGACATATAGATTTCCGTCCGTATCAATTGTCATTCCATCCGGTATAAATGGGGGATTTTTACCATTCACTTTGAAATCAATCGCTATGCGCTCATTCGAAATGTCACCCGTGCTTGGATCCCAATCGTATTCTCTCACATTAAATTTGCATGAGTCGATGTAGTAAAATTTGTTAGTACTTTCATTCCATGCCATACCGTTTGAAACCTAATAAAAACAAGTGTCCACAATAAAGTTCACATCAACACATATGCATATGTATATATATAACATACGTAAATGCCGTGAAGTAGTTCATATACGCCATCGCCTTTGATATATTTATAGAATGTGCCAGCCGCCACATCGAAAAGATCACCTTTAGATTCTTGGCGCATCGTACCTCCGTAAAATCGTCCAACTGGATCAGCTTTGGCGTCGTTGAAACGATTTTCAGGTTTGTCATCTTCAACTTCGAAAGCAATCGGGCCAAGCAATGCTTTCGGTGATTTTCCATCCCAGTGCACGATTCCAACACGACGACAAATTCCTACAGCGTATTCATCAAGTTCACATGTTTTCGTTGTGTTAGCAACTGGGATTATAAAACCTACAATTTTTTCTCCATCGATTTTCGCCGAATAGGTTTTATTCTCTTTGAAATCGTATCGCAGAATTGATGCTTCGGTACCGTAAATATCATTGTAAAACAAACTTTGTAATTGCTCATCCCAATGCGGGCCTTCGCCGAGAATCTTTATCAAGAATAATTTCAATTAGTTGCTTTAGTTTAGTTAGTATGTTGAAAAAATCATAATTTGCTCAAAACTCATTTTATTTTGCGAAATATTGAAAATTCAAAGCCATTTGAGCTATTTACCGATTTTGGCGACGGCACTGCTTCCACTTTAAAAGACATCTGAACCATAGAAAAAATGTTATCAAAATTATTGTATAATTATCAATTGTTGTGTATATGTAACAAAGAGCATCACTATCTGGGACTATGCTTGAGTGCAACAAAAACGCTGAACTTGTTATTCTTATCAGCATTTCAAATAATGACCTCAAACATTCACTCAATTTCTTTATTGAACACAAAGAAAGATTAAAGACAACATTATTTTGTCTGGTGAAAGTGGTATTTTGCCAATTTCGATTTATACACTTTGTTCCACATATATGATGCATGTGCAATGAATTCCGCAGAACACAAGTGTAATGAAGATTTAAATTTAATTTAACACAGAAATGAATGCACTCAACAGCTAAAGAATTCAAACGACTTACATTGAATATTTAAATGAAACTCTTTCGAAAATTTTCCAGTTGAACAAATGTAGTGTTTGAAGGCTGGCTCTCCGCTGACTTGCGAATTGTTCGGTAGTTACTGTCAGACTGACGAGTTCGGTGTAATCTGTGCTAAATATTTAAATTATTCGATTCGTCCTATCTGCAGCAAAGAGCCGAATGCCTTGTGTATGCAATATTTGTAATGTAAGTGATTAAATTATAAATATGAAAACAGCGAATAATCCAAACTTTCATTTCATATTTCTTCAGAGTCATGCTTTGTCACAGAATCTCGCACACGAACTCAAATCGCTTGAAAATAAAATCGAAGCAGACAACAACAAACATTGTTTTGCCGATGATCTTCATGAACCCCGGCATTATCATAAGTGGCTCAATGTTGATGTTTGTGTTTCGTTTCGTCCCATTTGATTTCGTATTCGAATGATTAAGCAATCGGTTTGCCGACGAATATTTACTATCAATATCATTTAATTGTTACTAACGCAAATTACTATTTGGAACGGATGACAACGACCACATTATTGCGATGCTCATCATTCTAGTTATAAAGTAATATTCATTTGCTATCTTGTCATTTGGGCTCTCTGTTTCATGACAGGAAGGTTGTCTGACTAGCTCATTGGAATATTTTCCATCAATTTCAAATTTATAATCTAATCGAATTAATTCCAATATTTCCCCTCTCTTTATAAGTCTCATATTTCTTCTTTATGAAACATAGTGCGCCAAAAAATAGTTTGTTGTGAAACAACAAAATAGAATAAGTAAATAAAATCTCAAGAGCTTCGCTCCGCTTTGCGGTCTTGTTTTACTTTCAATTCCTATATGAAATAAGGAACATCTTTTGGAACTGTCGCATTTCTGCATTTGAATGTTAAAAAATAATGTATTTCAATCAAACCAAATTAAAATATCATTACTTTCGATATTCTAGGAATGATGCAAGTTCAACGATTCAGGAATTTATATTTCATCGCATGGAGGAGAGCTTTCGTTTTGAATGTTGTCGAAAAGTGTGCGAATGATTTCCAATACATGTTGAATGATCATAGACATTAGACGCTTTTTAATGCCGGTAACTTTATCCATTTTGACATCTACACTATTTCATTTTATTGTTCACTGTTGAATAAAAGAAAGCTAAAAAACATTTTTATCATCTTTATTAAAGTATCTTATCAACAAAATATTTGTATTACAAAAATTATTCACGTTTGAAGCGGGTCGAAGCGTCAACTAGTATAATTTCCTTAGTAAAATTTTTTCGTGTGCATGCTATCATTTTCACTTGTCTTCTAGTGCTTTCCATCAAAATTTGGTGCAAATTCAGTTTTGAAGTGACATATAACGGTTCAAAAGTTGAAATAGAACGGCTTGCATTTTGCGTGAATTAAAATTCATATAACAATTAAGTTTGAGATCCGTTTGATAGTTTCGAGTCGGTTCATGATCATTGATAAATTAACATTATTTACTCGACTCAGCGGTTGAATTGGCTCAGTATAGTGAAGTAGCTATAGCTGCCGTTGCATAGCTGTTACAAATGAATAAGTTCAACACATATACAAATTGGATTGTGGATAATATCATTGTATTAAATCAAAAAAAATCTTTTCCAGCTCAATTTAGCTTTATTTATTTTTGAAAAAAGAAATTTCAAACGTTTTTACCTTTTTAAAAGTTTCGCGCGTACATTCGACGTTCATCAAAGCTCGCATTTTTACCGGGCTCTGAGCATTATTCATAATGAGCGGTAATTGTTTTGCTAGTCCCAAATTCAACAATGTAATCGATGTATCGTACAATGCATCAGAAACATCCTCATAACGAGCGGTTACCCCATTGCCAATATCGCAGAATATGAAAAACCATGTTAAACCTGCTCCTGACCAAAATATCTGGTGCACAAAAGTAACCTAATTTTCGAAAAAGATTCAAAAATTATTTTCATCTACAATTATCCATTGGCTATTGTTAATCAATGTAAAGTTTACCACATCTCCAATTTTCAACAGCTGCACAGAAAAAAAACGGAAAAGTTGCGTTCAATAAAAAAGAAAATTTGTTACGTTTAAATGCAACAGAATTAAAAGGAAGATCTCAAAATAGACTTACATATCGTAAATACAAGAGGCCACAGCAAGTAAATATAATCGCAGTCGAAAAGAAAGCAAATAGAATCACCTTGAACAGAGCGGATAAGGACAATGTGAACCTGTGAAGGATTTAAAACGATATATCCAACTGATTTGGAGAAACAAATCGTCGCCAACACTTAACTGCACCGCTTCCGTGTGGAATTTGATGACGTCATGGAATTTTTCTTTCAATT